CAATTTACTGTTTTAAAATGCTCATAACTCGTTTTGAAATTGAAATATTAAGAAAATTGTATAAAATAAAATAAATTATAATGAATATTATTGGAACCCACCTAATAGGTGAGTTCACTCTGAAATGAAACACAACTGAGTTAAATTAATTATTCAAAACTCACACTTTGCTGTGTTATACGTTTTTGGAAGGACACAAAGCAAACGTCCGAGAGGTCGGTAAGATATTTTTTGAGTGGATTTTATTTTTTAACGTTCTCGCTATATGTAGAACAGTAAAATGAACAAATGGTGCAATACGGCGTATTTGTTTTCATTTTCCGACCAGCATATACCAGCAGCTAACCGTGACGTGCATCTATCGTACTCAACTAGATATTTTCCTGGAGATTAAAATATGTTGTATTATCATTATACATACATAGCAAAATTATTTATAATATCACTCAGACGATTAGATATCATCTAAGACTTAGACGAACGCGGGTAAGTGCGATATTATGCTCGCAAACAACAAATAGCGTATTGTAATATTTCTGCCGGGATCTTAAACACATGAATTAAACAATAATATAATATACTATACATTATGTTTAAACACTTGTGCGTAACGTTTTCCGAGAAAACGCCGCCCGATACATATATATAAATATAATATATATATTATACGCATACACACGAGAGGACGTTAAAAGGAAAATCAATGAATAAACATAATAACAATCTCGTGGTGGTGATCTTATCTGACGAAGATCGTACCCAGACACATATTTTAACAGTTTGTTTGCCTTCGGGGTAAACGGAGAGACTTACGCTTTGTGGCGCGATATGCTTAAGACTTGTTTGACAACTTGTACACAAAAGTGAATATGAAAACGATACCTACCTACTCATCTGCCGAGTTTTGCGCCGCATCCTGCGAAAGAATAAAGAAAAGGGTGTGTCGTGAACATTTCTATAGAATTAAGTGGGTACACGCCGAACACACACACACACACACACACACACACACACACACACACACACACACACAATCAGAAAACGTCTATGTCATAACAATGTGTTATTATAGAATACGTCTAATCGTATTTTTTAGCTGTATTATTAATTATTTTATTATTGCTAACCGTAAAAATTTAAAACCAAATAAACTGCCGGCGAATCGATACCCACCGGCCACCCGCCGTCACAGCCACCGCCGCCCCCGCCGTAGTAGTAATCCGACCGAGTAAAAAGTGTACAAACAACAATAATGGAACTGTATTTATATTTATTTTGTATAAATATAAATAGGGTTCGATAATATGACTATATGGGTCACCGGTTTTTTATATTTATTTTTTATGAAATCGCTGTAATGTTGATCGATTAAATGGAAAATATTCTTAAATTGACTGAGCGTGGAACAATGTAGATTTAAAAATGTATATGTATGTATAAAATACATATACGTATATATTGTATTATGTTATGTGCTGAAAGTGTCATAACAATATTATTATTATGTCAATCGATCGGAAATGAGCAAAAATGTCACTTTGGTTTATCGGGTTTGAAAATTACTAGTATAGTTTGCCGTACGTATATATACTTATAATAGCACTCAAAATTCAACTTTTTTTTAAAATTCTTACAGAATAGACGTCGAGATAAAAAAAACATTATTATAATCAAATATTGCATACTTTTCTTTTCACCCTAGTGAACATAATGTAATCATATTTTTTTTTCCACAATATTAATTTATTATATTGTGCTTACTTTTCAAATTAAGAAACTTGTTAAAAAAAAAAACTCGACACGACTGCAGCTGTTGTAGTAGTTGTTGTTGAACTATATCGAGAAATATGAACGATACCGCACAAAGTTTGTCTTAAATATATATAAACATAAATTCACCCTACACCGATAACAAATACCTATGTAACTGAGAAAACAATATCCTCCCGTTAAACAGTGTTATAAAAAGCAACGCATTATTCTACAAGGCTGTTTTGTTTTTTATACGATCGGGGATAAATTAATTGGAAAACACCCTCCACCCTTGATGAAAACAAATAATTAGTCGGATACAAATAGCTGACATTAAAAATCGGTCGGGCTAGGGGTGACATCTTGCAGAATCCGAACAAATGTCTGCCTCGAGCCCGGCGCTCACCCTCGTGCAAAGAGGTCAAGGTCATTATAAAAACTGTCGATTGCTCAGCGATTGTGATATTCCTCTACCCGTTTTCAATGTTCTCTTCCGATTTTTTCCTGGAAACTATAATAATTAATGATATATGAACTCAGAGATAATCTATATAATACGCTTTTAATAGCATAATATATTCATACCTATAGCAATTATTATGACTGAGTTCAATATTATTTGTGGCAGTGGTTAAAGTTTTTTTTTTTTCATGATTTCCCAGAAAAAGTGATTAGAAATTAAAACGGTATCGTCTGAACAATTCATGGTAGCGGTATACAAAGTTTCAATGATCTCCTTCCCATAAATCAAGACTCTGCAGATTGAACTATACCGAATTTGAAGAATGATTAAGTATCGGTCTTAAAATTATTTCAATAGAAAATTATAAACAGTAATTTCTACTCTGGAATCACAACATGAATGCCCATTGTGTGGGTACTTGCCTTATTAATTTTTGATTTTTAATTTGTACAGTATTTTTCCTAATAAAAATTAAGTCCCGATTACGTGGACTTAACGTTTAAATTCAATATTTATATTTAACTTTATTAAATATGTATACACTTATTAATAATTGTTCAATAAAATATGAACAGTATAATACAATTTAGACCGTCTGTACTTTTTTAATCACATTATATTTCTTTAAAGACAGTGTAAAAAGTTAATTGAAGTAAATTAGTATAAGTACTCTTAAGAGTGATAAACATCATATTTGAAAGCGATTTATTTCAAAATAATATTATTATCTTATACACCTCAATGCCCGCACAAAATAATAGGGGCTTAAAAAGTTAAGAAATATCATTGTCCAATTGTTCATGTTTACATAATATTGTGAATATGATTTTTGTTTTTAAATATAACTCTACAGATTTTTAGAAATCAAAAAATAATGTTAACAGTTCTTAAAAGTCTATAAGCAAATTTAGGAATAAATAATAATTAAAAATGAATTAAAATTGTGTACATTCATCAATTCAATACAGATTTCGAAACTGAATCAAAATATTCACCATTTTTTTTTTTTATGTCATACGAAATAAGTTAAAACAAAACCACAATTAAAGTAAACATAATTTTCAAAAAAAACACAAATCACCGTTATAATTAAAAAAGAATGTAATAAATAGATAGAACATTGTCATATTTCATGATTATATTAATAGCATATTGTTTTTAAAAATGCTTTATTTATTTAAATTTGCTAAAACTTAAGACTCACGAAAAGAAACATAAATCAAACCTTACATAACAATACTCTAATCCGGAGACCTTAAAAATTGGATGAACGACTGTAGAAAAAATATTAAAAGTTTTCTTACCATTCACATTATTATATCTACAACCGGAACCGGAAGAAAATAAGGAGAAAATAAAAATAATTAGGTCAAGCAAAATGGGAAAAAAATGGAAAATTAACTTTCACGTAAAAAAAAAAAATAATTTCATAGACGGTTGAATACAAACACGTATATACTTGTAGTTCAGCATCACTTTGAAATTAATGTATAAAGAATGGTGTTTTAACATTTTACAATAAAAGTTCAAAAGAATGAAATTATCGATTGAGCTATGTGAAATTGAAAAACTTTAGATCGCGCTTAGAACAATCTGGTTTTGTAATATATTAACATAAAAACGCACTTATTGCTTTTGTTCTATCATTTTGTGCGGAATAAAAAAAAAATCCACATTATTTCTTTATCCATAATATATCTCTCAAAAAATATCATCACTTATTAAAAAGAGCCAAACAGGATAGAATACCGGGGCATTATAGGATTCGTCTTGTTTCGTTCACCTGGGACCGAGATAATGGTGTTCTTCAACATTGAATTTGAAAGGAATAAAAGAACAAAGATTTCGAAAAATAATTTTGGTTTTAGCCCGGTTTTACAAGGTGTATTTATTAGACGTTTTTAAAATCGGAGTGTTAGTCGTTGTTATCGAAGTTGTTATTAAAATTATATTATCATTTTCAATATTTATTGAATTCACAGTGTTATGACATAATATTTTATGATGTGAATTGCTTATATTTAATGTACCCAATGTAAACAGAAAAACTGTATATAATTCAAGCCATATCTTGAAAAAAGAGATGCTAATTTTAAGTCAAGTTAAATTAATCGTAATATTATTATACAAACGTAATTGATAAGGTAAATTCCCATAATAACACTCAGGTACTTTTCAAAATTTAAAAATAGTCCTATAGTGTATATGTCGTGACTTATGAATTATGATATATTACGACTTATTACGTTAATGAGCATACCTGTATGGCTAAATATAGTATTTAGTTCAAAATAATTATTAAACATACGATTTCGTATGAAATATGGTTCACATTTTTTTTTTTTATATATACCAAGACCTTTAAAATTATAATACATAACTGGAGCCCACATCGACTTGTTCAAAGGGTCTGTGGTGTTTATATTTATTTTTTTTTTTAAATTCTGACATTATTGTATACCTATGTGTATTAATAATTACCAAGACTCTATATGTATTTAGGTTTCGATGTCCACACTTGTTTGAAATACAATTTATTAGTAATAAATTGATCTAACAAGTTCCAAAGACATTGGTTATTAAATAATAATATTCATCATGTACTTATTACGATTCACATAGTTTTTTTCTTGTTTGTTTGACGAAAATCGAATGTTGTTGCCCAATAATAAACTAATATGATATACTTAATTTGCTGATGTTTAAAAAATGTGTTGCACATTGAATAAACAATAATAGAAAAAAAAATAACCAATATTAATGTGTGTAAAATATATGTTTTTAGGAATCTCGAGGAAAGAGACCATTTAAAGTATGGGATGGTTTTAGAAACATAAGAAAAAGCTTGTTGGCCTCCAGCTTAAAAGACTTAGAGATACGTGGTAAGTATTACTATAAATAATTAATTTACAGCATGCATCTATATGAGTTACCCAAGAATTATATGAAAATATTATGTTCTTAAATTAAAAATTCTCAATAACTTAACAAACATGTTCAACTATTATTTTTATTATTTAAGTATATGATATTATGATCCATTAACTGGATGGTTGTATGAAACTTTTGAAGAACTTTCACTTCTCCAAAAATTATTTCTGAGAAATAATATCATTGTAAAACTATTTTATAAATTATTACACACAAAATAATATTTATTATAATAATACATTTTACTAAAATGAGTTTATTTTTATTTTTTTATTTTATATTATTAATATGACGTTAATGCAAATAGTAGAATGTATTCCAGTATTTTTAGTACTTTAATGTGTAAATAATATTTAATAATTCGTTCATTTAAAATTAATGGTCTATAAGTTGAATGTATAGAAATTTATCGATAGATATTTGATATATATATTAGATAATTACATTTATAAATATTAACTTTTTTTTAAATATTTATAAAATGTTAAAAAAAACTAACCAACCGTATTTCAATCCCAAACAAATTCTATTTCATATAAATTATAAAGAAATACATAGTCATTCAGAAAAATTAAATATACTTGGAGATTACAGTATTCAATTGTTCTGACCTTATATAATTTAATCGTTAATAGTTACGTTAACAAAATATGTAAGCTTATTATGTTTTAAAATGGTAATGACCAAACAAAAAATATTGTATGCAATTTAATATAATATTATGATCGCATATATCAAGTCATTTAAATTTGAATGATAATTTAAAATAAAATAATATAGGTAATGTGAGATAGTTTAATGAATATTCGCAGAAGTAATAATATGTCTTTAAATGGAGTTTATATAATGACTATTCTTAGAATTTTGAATGCAAAGACTAACCATGAATATTTAAAATGTTTTGTTTTCCATCCTGACGAAGAATAAAATTAGATCATTCCATTATACCAACATAGTTAATATTTGGAAAAGCGATAATGCCGTGTCCTAATAAAGTGGTTTTAATCAATGCTTTTAAAAATTTGTGTAATGTTTAACATTCTATATTTATAAATACACGTTAAGAGCTAAAAATGTTCGTATTTAAACCAAAATTAAAACTCTCAATTCTGTATTTATTTATATTTACAGGATTCAGATTATACGGATAAAATACTTTTATTGAAACCATTGCGCCGTCAAAACATGATATTTCATAATTAAAATACCATACACATTTCATTTAATACGCTAAAATATAAAGAACATGTAATCAAAACTAATTATGATTTGTAAATGTTGAGTTCTGGTATTTATTATAAAATGATGAAAAAAGTTATAGGTTTCGGTATCGGGAGGTGTTAACTACCATAGTAGACAACTTTAAGCGGTTTCATTCATTCGAATTATTTTTCAACATTGAGCCGTTTTTAATTACAATTCACATATTTTTTTTAAAAGTTTGATGATGTTAAGTGAAAATATAAAGCTTGTTAGAAAAAAAATGATAAACGATTTAAATAGAAGGACTTGCATATTAAATTTATTATAATTTATAAACGTTACTAAGACTTGAAAATAAAAATAAATATTTAATAGCGATTTTTGGTATAAGGTTAAAATTAACTTGCGAATAAACTTGCAATCAATTGTTTATTTAAATTATATTAGTAAATAAAATATCATATTTGTTATTAAGAACAACAAAAAAGTAAATCACACATTTATAACCCAAAGATTGAAAATTTTTCCGTCAGTACAATATGTCATAAGCACAAAAATATCTTATGATCCGTAGAAAATCGGAGAATAACTGCGTTTTGCACGTTTTTATAATAATAAGAATATTATTATGTTCTGCGATGCAACAATGTACCTATTTTGCATATACAATGCGCCGTGTAACACTTTTCTCACGAAAAAACTTCCGAACACCATATTATAAATATAATTAATTAATTAATATATATATATATAATATATGATTATATAATAATAATTAGGAAAATTAATTTTCTGTTGTTAAAATGTTGAAAGCGATGAAGATCATGGAGATTGCAATGATTGATCATCAGATTGCATCTGAAATTAATCCTGTACTGATTTCGATAGGCTGTAATATTATCTTCTTTCTTAAATTCTAAGTTGTTCAATAAATTATTCAAAAACTTAAAAATAAAATTTAAAATAATACTTACCTAATTATATAATCGGTTATAATATTATGTACCCACCTTAAATTATTATTTTATTTTATTCAAATTATTATTTTAAATTAATATAAAAATAACATAAATTTGTTTTCATTGAAAATAACATTATCCGGTTTTTATTTATAATTTTTAACAAATCGACTAAATGTTCAACTAAAAGTATGCAAATATATAAAGCCGTTTTTGTGTGCTTTGAAAGATAATGCTACAAAACTAATTAATAAAAACAAAATTCCACGCATCACTTAAAATCGAAATTTGAATTACATTAATATTTCTTGTATTAATAAAATGTATTCAAATTTTATGTGAGGAGAAATTTAATGAACATTTTACTATTTTTATTTTAAACTCTAAATGTATTTTTTTAAATTATAGTCATTAACAAAAAAACTAACTTATGTTATATCACGTAGAATTTGAAAAATATTGTTTTAACAACATAAAAGTTCTACCTAACACTTTAAAATACATATTTTAGAGGAATTAATATAAAAACGATGAAATTTATTTTTATTTTTATCACACGGTTTTTTGTTGACCTTTGTATAATTTAAAATATTTTCGAGTTACCTACATATTTTTTTTAAGTATTTATCTATTTTTAAACCTCAATTATTTTTATTTAATTTCTACCTGGAGATAAATATTTAAATATTTAAATATCGATTACTAAACAATTAGAAAAGTTTGTTAGGTTTAGATATAGTAGGAGCGTTGTAGAAGAGAATTTTAATAAATATTTAACAATATACGCACATCTCTAAACTTCCAATTTAATGCCGATCAATAATAAACTAGTAACTATATTTTATAACAACTTATTATATAACGATGTTCAAAACAATGTTCTGTTTCACTAGGTAAAGGAAATCAATTAGTTATTGCGTAGAAATGGAAAATGTAATTGCTGTCCAAAAACCTAGTTTTCAAATGTTACGAAAAAAAGTTGTTCACAAATATTAATTCATTATTGTAACAAAAATACACAATATAATTTCAAACGTGTGAAATTCAATAGTAATTTGGACGTGTTAAATGTCGATAACTACAACTGTGTATTATGCTTTCATCTTTAATCGACTGTATCATAAAACATATTATAACAGTAATTAATTATCTCAAATCTATGTGAGATGGTAATAATTGTCACTATCAGTTATAACTTAATAGGTATACAGAACGTTTCAATCGCGGAAGTAACATAAACATTGATAATATTATTTACTGATTTACACTAAATAACGAGATATACATAATATAATATATCAGAATTTTCAAAACAGTATTCCGCTTCATGATGATATTGTTGCATAGAAATGAAAAATGTAATGTTTTTATCCACAAAAAAGTGTTTTGAATGTTATGAAAAATGAGTTGACTAAATATATTATATATTATATACTTATTGTTGAAAAACAATTAGAGTTTCTTATCGACTTGTTTAATGTCTAGAATAACTAGAATAACTGCAGTATCAGTCTCGCGTCTTTAGTCAATTATTATGAGACGTATAATATATCGTTATGTAAATGATTTATTCTCATCGATCACGACGAGGGATGGCGATTTTGATTAAAAACTAAACTTAATATTATACGGAACGTCGTTGAAGCCGCAGAAGTGACATCCCGCCACTTCCTGCACATTATTATTCACTAAATTCACACTAAACCAGATCAAAGACGATTGAATACAGAGGCTTTTCAAAAAAAAATCATTACATTAAACGATCTGGTGTGAGGGACAGAAACAAAGAAAATAGAACAGAATATATGTATTATTATTATTATTATTATGTGTGTAGCAGTATAACAGTAGTTATCGTTCACACTGCAGAGTATTACGTATGTATATTATTATATATATATATAGCAACCAAAGGTTGTAGTATTATTTTGCAATTTGATGGTGTGTGTGTGTGTGTGTGTGTGTGTGTGTATTTAAATAAGAGAAACAGCAATATAAAATTTCTCGGAAATAGTTTTAAACGACACGGTTTATATTACGACGAGATAGAATGCTATATTACACATTTTAAACACATATTTTATTATTGTTGTTGTTGTTGTTGTTATTATTATTATTATTATTCCAAAATGTGCTGAGTTTATATTATTATTATCAGCGGTTCCGGTGGGGGGGGGGGAGTGGATACTATAATAATAATTACTGGGAATGATTGCGGGCACCTCAGAAAAAATTTCGCCCGTTTGGCGGAATTGAAAATCTTCGATAAAAAAAAATACAAGTTCTTTTAAAAAGCGTCTCGCCCCCAATCGCTTCGCATGTAATATACAGCCCCGACTCTAGCGGTAATTCCAAATTCACTGGAAAAATAAAACACTGATCATTTCAAAGTTAACAAGAAAAATAATAAAAATAATAAGCACTAGAGATGACAGGTTGATAGAGATTTGCTTTTCATCTCTTGTGATACCGATGATTTTAAAAAAATTATCAAGGTTCCATCAAACCGGCATATTATCGACTCTAGGAAAGTAATTATTTTATATTATAAAATATAAAACGTCAAAGCGTATTACTTATTTGTAAAACAAATCAAAAAGAATGCGAGTTTTTATTTTTATAAAGTATTTTGTGATTTCTGCTTTATAAAGTAATAATTTAAGACTAAAGCGTAACTTAAAACAACTACCTACGTACCCGCTACCGACAACGGTTTTGAACGAAAATTTTTCATTTAAATATTTTTAAATAATTTGAATTAAACTAAGGTTACAACAATATTGGCATACACGTTTCATCTGTAACAAGTTATTTTTCTGACGTATTTTATTCATGAATACTTTTAACGTGGGTATTTCCAAGATTCCTTTCATATTTACCTTAAGATAATCAATCGTAAAATGTAAAATAATTTATGCATATTATTTAAACTAAAATTCCTTTTACTATACGTAAAATGTAATAATATTACATTGAACATTATTTTAACGCGATCGGTATTTTATAATAAATTTGGATGGTACATATTTTAGAAAATAAAAATTACGCTTGTACTTGAACCTTTAACAAAATATGCTCGCATCTACCTTAAATTCATCCACAGACATTAATTTAGTAAAATATTTCTATAATCGTACTCAGAGTTCTAGTGAAACGAAATATTTATACCTATTTAAAATAACGTTTCTTTAGTCTTTAATTAATCCGAGTCTTGTTTAAGTGGAAAATTTAATATTGAAATATTATACCGTAATCGAGATGAAAAAGAAAAAAAAATATAATAATACGTTACACTAACTTTTCGATTAATATCTTAACTATTTCAGCGGAATTCACTTACTACCTACTGAATTTAAATTGTATGAAACGCGAGTGTTCTATTTAAAAGCACTGAGTCGATTTTTTTAAATTCTATGCAACACCAAAAATATAATTTAATCACGTTGCGATATTTATCGAATATGCATAATACATTTTGCATATATCATATTATTATTTATTTATTTATCTTACACAATATACATTTTACAATTTTCATTGTGCATAACAAACGTGATAAGTAAATAAAATCGATACAAGATTCCCTGCATAGACTAAGCATATTTTCTAATCATATAAAAATGAGATAAGCTGATAGGACAAAGAACTATAATAGGTAGAAATAGTATTATCATAGTTCTCATAGCTGCCCCACGACGTATTCAAAGTCTGATAATTTGGAACTCTTAAAATAATTGAAATCACATTTTAAAATTCTTGAGATTTGTTTGCACTACTATTACCAGTGTGTTTCAAATGTGAACGCCTCTGTTTCAAAATAAATTATCCATTAATTAAGTTGATATTAATTAAATGTTGACGTACCTAATTTAAAATATTCAAACATACGTATTTCAATTGCCACATTAAGTCCTTAAAAGTGCTTTTATAGAAATATAATATGGATGTAACGTTGGATCTAGTATTTCCTATACTCGACACATCAATATTAATGTTCAAATCACCAAACCCATCACCTAGATATCACCATGTCTTCCGAATTCATTACCATGGACCTCACTGCCATGTGGATCTTCGATAAACAAGATTATACGTACATAGGTACTCAAAAACTACTAGTTCGAATTTTGATTTTGATGCGTCAAAGGGTTCAGAAAACTGATCTGCTAAATAATTATTAACAGTGGAAAATGGAGGTTCGCGTTTGAAAAACAAAAGTTTATACCTCCGCGGGGCACTCCTTAAGAAAATTTCACGAACAGTTTCTCGAATAACTACATTATTGAAGAAAACTACAAACGGTTAACGCGCTTGTTGAACCCAGTATATGAGTCTTCACATTCAACAGGGTTGTGACTCGTGAGAATATACCGTATAGTATTATAATTTTACCTAATACAGATGGTGTTTGACACGGGTTAACAACAGTTGTTTATTCGCTTTATTTTAGTATTTTTTTTTTTTTTTTTAATAATCCTTTCAACGCGTGTTTTTTGGCAGGCAAAGACAAACTGAATATCTCGCAGAACGAGCCCGTTAGATTGGTACTCGAAACTGACGGTACACAAATCGAAGACCCCGAATACTTCAAAACACTGCCAAACAACACTACTGTGTTATTGCTCAGGAATGAAGAGTACTGGTACCCAGCTGAAGTTGACGCCATTAAAACAGGTGATTATGAATTTTATAACTTTTGATCATATATATAATAATAGTTTTCCCGTCTCCGTCGGCGATTCACATAACTACAACTGGGTATTGAATATCGCACACGAAATCCCAACTGTAGGACCACACAACAGCTGCGACACACGAGCACTCAAATTATATTTTACACAGCCACCAATAAACCACTGCGATCGGCTGTGCTGCACGTGTACTGCATTGTGTTTATTTATAGTTCCTTGGTCCTTTTAAGACCGTCGTAAACAAATTGTTTGTTGCAAAGTGTTGTACTATATTTCTAATTATTATTATTTTGAAAACCGTGTAAAATCAATTTCCCGTTAGAACGAAACAAAAAAAAAAAAATTTCGAGCAGAGAGTTCCGACGGCCCTAGAGTACTTACGTAAAAACTAAAATTCAATCTGATACTATACCGCCGAGTGCAATATTAAGTTATACTAATCAAGAAAATACATCGTACAAGTAATATTCGTCTAAAATGGAATCCACCGGTGCATGGGATAAATTATACGGTCTACAAATCAGTTTAATAAACTTTAACTCAGTTCTCCCATGGCGCACTCGCATATTATCTGAATAGCCTGAATAATGCAAAAGATGAAACTACGGCGGTTTATTCGTCGTTTGTATGTGCAATGACTAATAAACAATGTAATATAATAATTTATTTTACTTACACAAATGCCATTACAAAAAATAATAATAAAGTACGAAAAAATATAATCAATACGTTTAAGATCGAAGCAAGTTTGAAACTTAAATTTAAAAATTAAACTTTAATTTGTATTAAACGAACAGCATCAATAAAAGTGGTGCGAAGATTAAATGAACGAATCCAATTCCAAATAAGAGCTTTTTATACGAAATTATTATTTATTGCATATTTATACGTTTTTTAAGTTCCGTTCAATTCAGCCATGGCATAATCTAACCAGTGTACTCGTAGGTATTTAGATATTATAATATTAATAAGCATAATTATCATATTAAATTATTTAAATTATGAACAAATTACATCCAACAAAATTAAACTAGTTGATGTCGACTATATTATAGTGTTGTACGAATTTAAATCATTGTGGAATGTGTTGTTTTTTAAATGTTAATGTTTTATTATTTATTTAGCAGGTATATTTATTCTTTAAAATTAGCAGTAGTAATCATAAAATAACTTGTACAAACTGAGTAGTGGATTCAAAAAAAATACATAACTCCAAAAATTAGGTATGTTGATTTTCTTCCAGTGCCACATTATAACAGTTATTATGATTAATGTACTCTTGAATATTAGTTTAAAAACTTGTTTTTGGATTGGAAATTGATAAAAAAAAAGGTGACTCTTACATTATATTTGATACTGATTGTACTGTAATTGTCACAAAAATTGTCAAAAATACAAAATTTTGAAACACTTAGTGATTAAAAACGAAATTTGTTATTAAATAAACAAAATAATTTAACACGCCATAATATTATATTATACGGAGTTGTATCGTTATTCCAAAAAAGTCAATATTTTCTTTTTTCATGCTTAATAACGACTTCGTGTCTTCTATTAGATGCTCAGCAAAGCGCAATGAATTGGTTTTAGAACGATGGCCAGTGTTTTTGAGCCAGAAGACATTTTTTTATTGCAGATTAAATGCTCAAATATTGGAGTTAAAAGCTGGAAATTCTTTGCCCATTACTTGACATTAAGAAAAAAAATTTTAAAAAGACAAATAATATGTACACAGCACCGATTTTTTGACAAAATTTATCGTGATATTTTATTGTAACCCAAAAACAAATGACCATGGATACTGAAAATATTGTCACCAAATATCTATACTAGGATTTTCTTTGGACATGGTTTAATTTTCAAAATAATTTTCAACTTTTTGAGCTTTTTATGACCTTTTGAAATACTGTTGACAGTTGTTTTTAGTTATTTTTGTCTTAATGAAAAAAAAAATCAAAGTTATATCATTAGGTAGCCACCTATATAATATGTAGTAATGATGATTGGCTGACTTATCAGACCGAATGTCTGCTAATAATTATACAAGTGAGCTCGCCGAACAATAATTTTTATAGGACTAAACCATAGACGCTTAATATAATATCATAAGCCTATGAATAAAATCATTAAAATTTGCGGACCGGCTGCAATCGCGCAGATAACCCATACGCCGGCGGAGGTTACCAGGGTTATGGTTTGGCAGTAATTTATGACCGGTTCGCGCTTCCAAATTACTAAAGGATCCTATTCGTCGTCGCGGGTGTACCTGAGTCTTATAACAACACAACCGAGTACATGTACTTACATTATTTCACAGAGCGTGGGATGACATGTTTTTTTCCTTATTCAATAAAAACAATAACATTATATTAATTAAAGCCTATTTTTTTTTTACAAACATACAATTTACACGCTTTTTACAAACCACAAAATAGGGCCCCATCCAACGAGGCAGAGTTTCAGAATATAATAGTAGTTGTTCGATCTACATATTTATTATTTAGTCCGCTTCGATAACACAATATTATTGTCGTTGTCGTCTTACGAAAGATGCAATTATGAATTTAGAGTTTTAAAATTCCACGAAATGAATTTGCTTGAAATATTTCATTTATGTGAAAACACAAATAAAAAAAAAATAGCTTGTTATAGACTATAGCCATAAACTTACAGCAAGATAACATTTTTAAAAGTTAGTTTATTGTATAAATAATATATAAATAATAACCAATAAGGGCCCTATTGATAAGTGATAAATTAACCCATAATATTATAATACCATAGATACCTAATTTGTAAGTTTTTTTTCAATAATGGCATTGTGAATAATTGTATAATCTAAATATTGGTATAGTATACTAGTATAGTGATATGGAATTCTGAGAGGTATTTGAGGCAGAGCCCTCGATGTGAGTGATTCATAGTTGTAGCAATATTATAAGACTACACTCGATTTGATTTCCACAATTTATAGTTTATACATTTTAATATTATCGTGTATTACAATATTAAAATATGCGCATGTAACAACAATGGAGAATTTAGTTTCAAATATTAAACTCCCTAATCGCAATATACTTATATTTCGAATATGCCCGTAGAGTTCACGTTCAATGCGCGTAAGAAACAAAGTCTTTGACGATCAATTTTTTTTTTTTGACAAAGAAGACGTTAAAGTTTGTGTTCTTAAGCAAACAAAAATCATACATCCATCCCCCAGGTGTTAATTATTTTAGATATCTTTAAATATACCTCATAACTTCAGAAGGTATACACCATTTTTAGTAAAATACGTTTTTGCATGTACCTAATATGACGTAATGATAAAATAAAATAATATAAAACTAGAAAATGTAATGTTAAACGAAAATAATTATAGTAAAATAAAATACCATTTACCTACATCCAAAATAATTACTGGGATACTAAATGTATTAAAATAAATACGAAATCAAAACATACAAATATGACGTCAAGCATTTGCAAAATTTGTCTTAAATATCGTTGGTAGCTGGTAAGAGTTCGATGAGGGAAGCAATGCGAAAGCAGTAAGTTAAGATCGTATTTAGTAAGGGTACTGAATTTGAAATATTTTGATGAAATTATGATAAATATTTTGTTTCTTTTTAACACGGGTATTCGGCTATAGTTGATTACAAGTAAGTATTGATAACACACGGAAAGTATCAATGAGACTTATCAATCAGCAAGGTTTACGAATTACTATGTTAATGGTCATAAATTAGGTATAAATGGTATATTGGTATAAATTATATGATCGGTTAATTTATCACTTCTTATCAAAAGGGTCTCTAGCTATTGGCTTTTTTTTTAAATTATTTATTACTATTATGGTATTTGATACAATAAACCAACTTTTATCAAACGTCATCTTGCATTTGATTTAATACATATGGTATAATAACAATTTAAAAAAAAAATTTTTTTTCACCTAAATGAAACATTTCAAGAAAATTAATTTAATGAAATTCTAGTGATACTGCATGTTATGACACTACCACTCGTTGTTCGACAGGTACTGGTTTAGATCGATAAAACAAAAAAACTTTTTTTTCATATCCTTTGCCAAAACTTGTGGAGGTATCTATTATTACGTCTACGCTGCAGTTATAACTATAATGGAATATTGTATTATTCAAATTTCAGTTAATTTTGATTTGCATAACAAATCAGTTTCGTTTCATGATAGATAATCGAAAACACTAAACAAATCAATACAAATAATTGATATCATACTGGGCTACACATGGGCCGGAGGTCCAACATATTATCGCGGACGTTGTGTATAATATATAATAATATTTTATATTGAAAACTTTTTACGCCGGAGTTGGCGTTAAATGTACATTATAATAATACTGTAATCAGTGTAAACGGTAAATTATTATTTTTAATTTAAAAATAATGATTAATCGTTGGATTCAAAAACGATTATGAGCTTAGCTCAATGTTTCTTATAGTTATTTCGGAACTTATCTCGGTCGTTAAACATAAAAAAAAGTCAAAATATTAAATAAACGTTGGACAACATATTTTAAAATATTTATCTTAATATTAGTTTACATAGGTATAGTCATTAGTCAACTATAATAGTGGTATGTACTATGTACCTATTTGACATTTATGGGTACTATTAAATCTAAACATTGATAAGTTTCTTAATTGGATGAAACTCGCATTTTTGCGAGGTTAGGTTTCGTGAAACTTTTTTTATTGCCATAGAAACAAATTCAAATCAACAATAATAAAAAAAAAATCAAATTAAATTCCCAACAAAACGTCGAATGTTACTAGATATTTTTCCACTGCACTGTACCCTAAAATGTAGTAAAAAAAATTATGTAAAATATAGTCCCTCAATTTTCCTTGCAAAAAGAAAATATCTATAGTAGCATTCTACTTATAATACAAACGAACGACATTTTTTTTTTTGATTTGTTTAACAATTCTGAAAAAAAAAACAACCATAGAAATATCCAGAAAGCCTGCTGCAATTTAGAGTAAAAATATAACATTTAGAGCACCACTTCTGTCAACAACTACAGAAAAGAAATCGCAAACAAAACTTATAATGATTAAAAAAACATCGATGTAAACAATAATATTATCAATATATTTCTCGTTGCGCGGACTAAAATCGTCATTAGGTATATTGTTATAAATATCGATTTTGAAACACACTGTACACGCATTACGCGCCGCCCCACACACACATGGGAAACGCCGCTATAATAAACTATTTATATTTATATAAGCAACTTTTGTGTTAATACAACCGTTATAATCGCTTAAGACGTACACACAAACCGGGAAATTCGTCTGTCAAATCAAATTCGAAACCCTTTGTGGCTACCAATACCGCGGTATATACACGGACCGGGCTGTGGCGTATATGATTACCTGCGTATATAATATACAGACCCCGGCTATCTGCAAAGGTCTTTCGCAACCTTTCCGACGTCTGATGTGTGCGTTATTTTTATTTTATTTTTTTCGCAAACTTACGCCGAACTGTTTCACACCGCTATTTCTCAGTGCATTCGCACGTCCGAGCGTTATTTACTTGCAGCGAAATAAACGTAAGTACACAAAAACACGCACACGCATATAATATTATACCTACAGACAAAAAGAGCTCATTCTTCGTGGTTTAAATGGCGCCAATATCTCGACACACGTGACTACAAAAAAAATATGTTTAAACGAATATCACTGTAATAATAATATGCCTGTTGCACAACAATGGTAAATGATGATGTTTGTTTTTCAAATTTGATTATTATGTCCAGAGCAATACTCATTACGACCCCGAGCCTCGGCATAATTAAAGGACTCCAACATGTAACTGTCATACAGTTATATACGTTTTATTTGTACTTATCACATTAAATAATTACTTACAGACTTATAATGGTATAAATTATTTATAATCTTAAAAATATGTAATTGAATATAAAACAACCACATTTATAACAGTTAGGGTTGAGGGGCCTTACCAAAAAAATTATCCCCGAGAACCAGAATTCCTAAGTAGGGCGCTGGTTATGCTGGATACACAATGATAGTGATAGTGATTTGAACCCATAGTGCCCTGTACGCGATAAGGCTCGTGGCGATCGCCTTTCGGTCATTTCGTTAAAAAATAAAAAATACAATTTAGATTTATAGGTACCTATACCGGCGTATTCTAATTTCCAGCAATTACGTCAACTGTCGCCTTTGATCGATAACAATAGTTACTATGACAGTCTACTATCTGAGGCATAAAAGTCTCGTTTGGACAGTTCACAGTCCATTCCTATTTTTTCACGTACTGTGTATTCGATTGATTTCGATTATTAGTTTAAAATCTAAATTCAATTTATTTTGTGCTTATTCAGAATAAAGCTTTTAAATGAGTCAATAAATGGTTAAATAATTTTTAGTTGAATTATGTTTAGTTATAATAATGTGAATTTAATTATAAAAACATCATAATAATATAATATACATTATTTACTATATGTTGTAATAATAAATTTAAAAAGTGATTATTAAAAATGTGTGGTGATTGTTTACTTGTATGTAAGGAAAATATGAAAAATTTTAAGCACCCCCCCCCTCCCCTTCCCACCCACACCCACCAAAGAAAAAATAACAAGAGTGCGCTCCTGAGTTACCAAACGTCATGCTCACCCCCCATTTTTCTCTCATTTACACTCATTACCTATTTGATTATTGTTGTTGAGTTATTTTTTGAGTCTTGACTCGATATTAATTAAACTTCAATTACACAATTATCTACAATACCTAACCCAAATGTTACGATTAATTAAAACCCATAGGTTAGGTTAGGTAAGGTTATCTCTCTTGCTATAACATTGAGGTTGTGACGCGTTATCTACGTACACGGTCTCTCAAAGGTTTTTCCAAATATTCCAACCTCTGATAGTTCGATATATAATATATATTGACTTATTTTTTTAACTTATACCTAACTGCTCCACGCCGCCATATCTCTACGCATTCTCGAGTACTCCGCTTTATTCACTTGCAGTGAAATAAACTAGTGTAACTGTGTAAGTATGTACCTATACACAAAAACTAGGGCATAGATGATATTATACATGAACAAAAAAACTCATTCTTTGTGGTTCAACACTCGCAAGAACCAATACTACAACACAACACAAACGATTCTAATAATATCATAATAATAATATACAAGACGATTCATCAAACGTCATGCTCACCGCCATTTTTCTTTTGATGACAAATTTATTCAAATTTTGATTTTTGAATTTACATTCTTACTTGAGAATCGTATACTTGCAATTATTCAGATTCTTTACATACCTACCTACCATATATTTTAAGGAGTGTCCGGAGGCGATACCGATTTAATTTTATAGTTTGTAAATTTATTCTTCAAAATGTTCATGCGTACTTGCTTATATAAATCGAAATCCGAACAAGCACCTGTATTGCTTTTAGATACGATGAATTTGAATGTAATTAGGAAGTTACCTAAATCTATCAATATTTTATAATTAATAAACATTGCACACAAGAATGATAGATATGAGTACGTCCAACATTAGATGCAACTATTTTATATTTTTGTATGATCATTATTTTAAGGACTAAAATATTAAACTTATAAGGTTGATATATACATTTTAATAACTTAGAAATCATCTTTTCGAATTTTGATTTAGATAAATTTTCAAAAATATTATCCACCTAACGATATTCAATAAAAAAAAATTTTAAAAAAAGTGGGTTCTCGTTTAAAAAAGTTATCCAGCGTATGGCTTAAATGGTATAACAATTATAAATAATTGCATATTATACCGTCTCGAGACTCTAGCGTATACTTAAAATTCCAAAAATCGAAATTTGAATGAAATATTAGTCCGTTAATAAATGGGAAAACGGGGGTAAACATAGTCATCGACATTGACCTATAATAGTACCTAAATCTACGTATAGTAACAAAAACCGAGCGAACGATGACAATTTATGTTGCAGCGATTGCCGCAATACCGAAGATCGTCTGCGAAACGATACATGCACTGGAGTTGCAAGACGAGACGCCTTCGTGGAAAATAATGGACAACAAAGGCCGCGTGACAGTTGTACTGCACTGGGACCAACGCAACCAGACATACCGTGGTTCTAGTAATACCGGTGGTGGCGGTGGTATGGACACGTCTCCGTCCAGGAAGACGACGGCACACCAACAGAACGGTGTCGGCGGTCTTCTGATGGAGAACAATGGTGCTCTTAAGAGGGAACCCAACCTACAAGGGTTTCAGCAACAGCAATTGCAGTCCACTCCGACTGTCTATCGGCACGGTTCAGCACCTCAGATCACGGTCATCCACCACGATGCCATACCGCAGACGATGAGCGACGGTTCGAGTAAATAATATTTTTTTCATTTTTTTTTTTTTTTCATTAATTTTAAAGGCTTCGACATTGTGAGGGGTAGCATACAATGTAACGCAAAGATAAAAACAGGTTAAGAAAAACAAGATGATTGAAATATTTACAGTTGCCTAGAATTTATTTATTTATTTATTTGATTAAATGTATGGCGTGGAAAAAATTGTAAATTGCATCGGTGTTTTCTTCGTTGAGAAAGGGAGAAGTCGGAGAGAAGTTGCAGGGTCCATGATGATTTTCGTGCTTTGGAGTATTGGACATCTGGTAACGATGTGGTCGATGGAGAGGTTTTCTTTGCATGAGCGTCTCTTACTGGGTTAGGTTCTTTTGAGATGGGGATGGAGTGGGTAAGACGCGTATGGCCTTACAGGCTTGATACAAGTTCTGATAACTTCATCTCTTCTTTTTTAGGTTTAGGGGAAAGGGCCATTTTTCGATGGAAGGCTTAATGCTTCTCTGTTTATTTTTAAGAGGGACATCGATCTAGTTTTTATGAAATGTATCCAGAATTTTAAGGTTAACTATGACTAGTGGCTCAGAAGAAGTGGTTAGATTTAGTTTTAGGGATTTAATAATACATAATTCAATAATAGTTTACGATTATTTCTTTAAAATCTTAAAAACTCAAATAAAAATAATATAAATGAAACATTCAATTATGTATTATACCTACCTATTATTATTGTTATTATTAATTACCTATTATAATTATAGTTGGATACCTCTTAAATCGTATACGTTTAAATAGCGTTTATGGTTCGATTCAATTATAGGGTCTCGTTTTAATACAATTTTAAATCATGTGCGTGGTTTTTCATTACCTAGTTATTATAAATTACAAAACTTGCTGCTGTTTAATAATATCTTGGAATTAATTTGTTTAGGAAAATGAAGAATTCTAGAAATCCGAAATAATTTTCTCGCAATTTTCTTTGCTGAATGCATATTTGACATTTTCTTTCCTTTATAATTACTTTTTATCATTTTACAAAAATACTAACATCTCTTTTGATTAAAAAGTTATTCTTTGATCATGAAAGACAAAGTTATTATCATTTCTAACGAAGTTTTATAACATCTTTTATAAACAACAGTATAAGAATACATAATTAAGCAATAGATAATTTTACTAATTTTATTACTTTAAAACATAATAACTGGTGTATAATATTTTACACAAATCTGTTTAATCAAATATTATTAATTTATCGACCTACCTATAAAAGAAGTTTTTCATATTATTTAAAGACAAAGACAAGCACTTGTTAATATTTATAAATTAATTTTAATCTGTTGGCTAAGAAAATACATTAATAATTTGAATATCTAACTAAAACTCATTAAAAATTGTGTTCATTTAATACAATAACGGTTTATACTTTACAAACCAATTATTTATATATTTAAAAAAATGCCGTTTGAACTGAGATAAGTAAATAAAATAAATATTAGTACAGCTTATATTCATGTGGAGTAGCGTGTTCATTCAAAATCAATTGCATATAAGTTTCAAGCTAAAGAGAGCTTAAAAAATAGCTATAATTTGAATTGCCAAATCGTGGATGATTAATGTTCGAATTATCGTTTATATTAAATCATATAAATTGTCCATACACAATAATTATTTTAGATTCTGAGCAGATAAACAAAAGAAATTGGTTTCTCAATGATATGTCTGATTTTATTTTTTTTTTTTTTTGTGTGCGTCACCTTTTGAAGTGGTAAAAATGCTCCAATGTTTTTTTTTTTGTGCAAATTGGATCTTGCTGGTGCTTTAAGGGGTCAAGAGTAAAACAATTCCAGTACATATCTTAATATGTAATCGAGAAAACCAGGGTTACGAAAAATTAGTTTTTGACCAACATGATATTGTTATTTTGTTGTTATTTAAGAATTACAATAATCGTAAGTATTTGAAATGTTCAACAAGTGTTTAATAGTATCTATACATGAAATTATTTTTTCAAGTATTTTTACTCTTTTTTTAGCTATCTATAGAGATTTAGATTTGTCTATTATCTTTTATAGTTTTCTTCTGTAAATATCGATTAAAAAATGTATGTTAGGTCAAAATACTTGAAAATTTAAAACAAAATTCCTCGTGAGATTATTTAACTGGAATTAAAAAATAAAAAGAGGTTAGAGATACACATTTTTAATTGATTTTAAAATTCTTATAACATTTGATATTCACTTGTAAAATAACGGTTTTTCCTCAAACAATTTTTCATATTTTGTTATAATTCAAAAAAATATTAACTGTGAAAATTTAAAATATTTCACCACTAATAAAATTATAATTTCCCATATATACTGATGTGTTCAAAATATTTAGAATTTTAAACTAACTTTTAAGTTTTTTTCCTGGTGTTAGTTCAATATTTGGGCACAGCCCCAAACTTTAAAATGTAATACAAGTTCCCACATTATTTGCTCTCATAAAAATTTAAAAATATAGAAAATATGTACATTGGCACAATATTTTTTATTATTATTAATGTGTAAAGTTCAAAATTTGGCATTTTTTTTTAAATTACTAAATTGTGCATATTATTTTTCAACTATAAATTCAAGCAGTTTTAAATTTTAAAACTCATGATTAAAAACCAATACAATTTTCGTCATAATTGTATCTACAACAACCTAAGCAGTAAGCAAATAAAAAATATATCAATTTTAAATGAAAACATAAAGTTCAAATGTTGACAAAATTAGAATATTTAAATAATTTTATTGTAATTTAAAAAAATATTTTTCATAGGAACTCGAATGTTTTCGACATTATGTATATTATTATTTACTATGTACACAATGAAATTCGCAAATTATTTAGATTAATTTTAGACTATATTAATTATACCACGAACCTATTCAGCACACTTGTCCACGGACTACGGTACGTGAGTATTGACTTAAAAGTTGATAACAGCTAGTCATATTATCTCGTATGAAATAATATTATCATATTTAGGTATCATAATATAGTATACCAACGCTCAATTTATCGTTGCAAAAATTAGTTAAACTTATTATTGGTACTAAGAGAAAAAAATTACTAAACTCATAGCAACGTATTAAATGTGTTCTATAAAATATCCTTGGAAGAATATAGGCAAACGGACCGAATCGAAAGCTGAAAACCGCGTTTTTCGGATGCGTCGTTGAATTATAAAAATTTAACACAACTATTACAACAGTGAATGGGTACCCTCAACACTCGAAACATTATGCTATAAAACAGAGCGAGTTCCCCGGTTTTATGTGTTATAGCTTAATGTTTAAACGTTCTCGTTTTAGAATAAATTACAATCGATGTTTGTTTAAGAGGAACTATATTATGTATTAGGTACTTGTAGATTTACATTAAAAAAACCACGTTAGACATGAAAGATAAAAGTTAACGTGATGCACAGCAAGCATTGCCCAGCGTGGTTGGATAAAAACATATTATTTTTGAAATTATTATCCAACGGTAGACTGGAAGCATATCCCTAATTAAAACCCAAAACAACATGACAGATAAAAAAAAAACCTATTAATTCGAAAATAGACACCAGCACACCGCCAATATTGTTAAAGCTACCGTCCAAACTGCTATAAACTATAAAACACGCAAAAAAACTTATAAATAAAATATAAAATAAAGCATGAATAATTAATAAGTAGAAAAATGTATAAGTACGTCTTGTATGATATGCGCATAACACATGGTAAATAATTAATACAGAGTGTGGACCCACTTACCAGTGACAATTTATTTTATGCACAATAATTTAGATAAATATACCATATTGAATCAATGTTTTAATAATTTAATGTGCAGTGTGATTTACCGTTCATAGATTATTATTCAGATTTGCTAGCGGGCATTTTCGGTTTGGACATAAAATCCCAAGCCCCGGGTCCATAGAAGAATGTTCGAATGTACCAAAACCAATGCATAGGTCCCCTCATAAAATATTCACGGGACACATAATTGCAATTGACAGGACTCACTAAATAATCGTGATGGTTATTATGAATTGGCTGTTTATTGATTGCATACCTGCAGAAATATACTTACTAATCATGCCGATCTGTATTCCATGCCTAGTTCAATACTCTTTTCTAAAATCTGTGAAAATCCATTTGGACGAATATAAAAAATTATATATAAAAAAAAAAAACGGATTGAACTCACATTTAGAAATCGTGAGAATCATACTCTGCTGGATCGAGTCATTGATTAGATCACTGAAATCTACATACACAACGTAGCTGTAGTAATGGATGTGTTACATTTAAATTCAATAGCATTTTAATCATTGCATACGAATAACGATTCTGAGAGAAGACGGAGTCAGCTCACTCGGCTCATATAATGCTATTTTATAATTTATTTAAATTACTATTTGGTGGATTCAACTGCTTATCGCCAAACACATCGGGTTTATTGTACAGCTAAGATAATCGTCTCAATAAAGGGTGTAACAGAAAGACCTGACAAACAATTTATAAAAATGATACCTATTGGTTAAACGTGTGAAAACAATTATGAAAATGATATGCATAATAAATAATTTAAGAAATATACTTATGTTAGGACTTATGTCCAAAAAGGATATTTAAAAAAAATTAATAAGTTTAAAATTAATTAGAGCATTTTCAAAAATAAGCTATTCGACTTGAATAAATGTTTTTAACATAAAAACTTGGCTAAAAATTAGACTTACAATTTGGCCATATTGAATTTTTCCAATATAAATATAACAAAGAATATGTTTAGATGTTCACAAGAACAAAAATTATTTAATTTGTCATGTCTTTTTGTTACACATTGTATAGTGTTATTTGATTACAATTCACTTTCATGCAAATAATTTATAATAGCCATAGTATAATTTCGTGTAATAAATAACTCGAAATCAGTCTTAATATTTAGAGAACAATTTTTTCATAAAATAAAATTTTACATAATACCCATGTATTTTCGATATTTTGTTGTAAATGAAACTCTAATGAGGAACGTTGGGTTTAGTTTTTAAGCACTTTAACTTATGAACAAAAATTTAAGTAAAACAAATTGAAATGTCTACAAATGCCTATCAAAAAAGTTAACATTTTGAGACCATTTATGATTGTCCGTTTTTAAATTACCATCAAAAATCGACATTGACAAAATCTCATTTTGCACAAATATACCTGTTTTTTCGTATTTTTGTTTTTTACAATTCTTTTGAAAAGTACTGGGAATTTTTTCTTTTGACACATCAAAGTACTAAGTAAATCAAATTTTCTATCAGAAACAACACTCAAGTTGAAAATCAAGATATTTTTCCTGCTCCAAAAAGTGGTGACGGACACAAATCAATTTTTTTTTAATCCACATAATTGTAATACCATAAATACTCAGTAATAAAGTAATAAAAGATTACCAACGAATAAATTATCACCATTAGAATAATAATTATTATTTTTCCTTACGAGGTATTGATGAAATAATCTAAAAAAGCACTCAGAGTTTATAGTGCATCGGGAGTTGAAAGTTTAATGAAACACTTAATTTTTTTTTTTTTGTATGTAGTATAATATTATGCTGGTATAGCTGCCAGCACAACGTGTCTCCAGATACGTCAAAGCATTTTGACATATTCAATTTAAAAATATATTCGTTTAAATTATTAAAATTATAAAACATCAACGGTATAAGAAACTGTTAAAATATTAAACACCATAAATTAGGTAGTTTGACGTGTGACGGCTTCACGATTTGCAATTATTGTATTTTTTAATTTAAACTGTTCATTTTAATCTAAATCCTACAACTTAACACTGATGGGGTGCGTCTGATGTCATTGTTTGTGGTTTTTCGTTATTCCGGGTGGAACAAAAAATTCGAATTTAGTAAAAAAAAATATTTTTCTATGGAGAGTTAATGTTTTAAATTTCAAACTGTATTCGCACTATTCGGTCCATTTTATAAATTTTCACTTACGTTTAATACCTTTTTTTTTAAATGTCGACCGCTTGTGCAGGTTGGCCCATTGGTCATTTTGGCTTTTCAAATAGTAATGGTAGACGAATCATAGATTTAGGTCCATTACTTAAATTACCACGGCCCTTCAAAGTTTAGTCAACTAATTAATGGTTCCGATTAAAATAATTGGATTAAGTTTACTTATTAGCAGTTTACATATTTCCAATATTTTTTTTTTTTGCAAAGTCTGAAACTGAAATTAGAAATCCAAGCACATTACTTATCATACGTTGTGTTCTCAACATTATAGTAAGAAAATAATTTGTTGAGACTCAATTATAACATATTATATCTACACGAACGTATTTTTTGGAGAAATAAAATGCAATAGATTTCTTTTTTATATTCGATGTAGGTAAATGGTTTTAATTCATAGAGCAGTTATTAAAAGGAGATTAGATTGAGTTTGATTTTTGACAAATATTTAGTGTGAAAGCAGTGCTCAAAAAGTACATAAGTTTTAATTACATAATACTGATGAATTCGGTGATTTCAATACGATTCTTTTTGAGCAGTGGTATGTTTTATTTTGTGGATAATATATAATATGTTCTGAAAACTATTTTTCGAAAAAAACCGGTATAGTTTCTTGTACTCGGAGAAGAAAAATATTTAGAGTCTAAATTGATTTAATTGTTTCGGATCGATGAGACCCCTCGTCCAGGAGTTCGCTACCTTAAGGTTGAAAAACGCCGAATTTCAGACTATAATAATATTATAACTAATAAGTTAGAGTGGTAAGTTACCCTATTACACTAATCTTCTAAAGTATATTTCGGGGTCTCCAACCAGTCGATCACGATCATCTGGTCGATTTTTAGATAAACTTTGGTCGATCGTACCTATTCAAAATATTACTAACTATATCAATATCGGTTCATCACTTGATCTTAAACAAACTTTTACGTTATCTATTTATACAGATCAATTTGTATTTATTAGCCAAGACAAGTATACGATTTTCGATAGAGAAACATTAAAAGAAAAATATTATCATGCAATAAATTTAGGTACATTATATTATAATGCAAATATTAATATAAATAATATACTAAGATTAAATCTATTTATATGTAGGTAGCTAATATTATATTTATTGTGCTGTAAGCTAATAATATAGAAGTTGATGCGGTATCATAAATGAAAAACAATAATAATATACCTAAATAAATAATGGTCGATCACCAGATACTTAAAAAATGTAATGTTGCTCGCTTGTTGGAAAAGGTTTGAGACCCCCGGTTTATTTCATATGTAAGTCTAATATTTATATTATATTGACTTTACTATTTTGACAGCAATGTGTACTTTTTTGAAAATTACTATTTGATAATGTAATTTTCAAACTAACAGTTTACTCACCTAGTTTTTAGAATTTATCCTCAACAAATTAATTCGACCTGCAGAGTAAATAGTTTTAAAACGAGCTTCTCAATATTCTCAGTCAAAAAAATGTGATCAATTATCATTTGTGAATCTATGCTTCAAGCTCAAGTTTATAATAACTTCATAATAATATGACTTATCGGAAATACAGCAGTATGATGAAAACTAATTTTTAATTAATTTTTGTTAGAGTCGTGAATATGAATTTCATGGCAATTTACAGAGGTATAGTACCTCTCCAAAATTTAACACGATCTCAGAGACGCATTGCTCGAATTATTGACAGGGAGTGCTGGGGGGAATGGAGCTCGTTCACCACTTTATTTTCATTTTGTGAGAAATCTTAATTACTAATTATTTTCATTATAATGATATATACTCTTTTAAAATATTTTTTTAACTGCATTTTTAACGGCTTTTGTACGTTCTTGAAAAATTGTATTGAATATTGAAGATATTAAAATTCAATTTGGTGAATAACTGTATACCTAACTCGGTGTTATTATGATGATATAAAAACACATATTTAATGTTATTTTAATCACATATACGATGTATTTTATCAGTCGTAACTTACACATTATAGTATGGGGAGTACTCCTAAATGATATTTGTTTGACAATCAATGTTGGGGGTTTCCGACATAGCATAAAACGCCAGACCGAGTTTGTCGACCATTGTACAATGGTGCTGGTTGGGGAGAAAGGGGCTGGACGATGATTATTATTTCGCTGCATGTCCAAGAATGGCAGTCCTTCCTTAATTCTTCCGGTCCGATCACCACCGGACACCGGTTATAAGCCTATAGCCCATTATCAGCCTTGTAGAATACTTAGATAAAAGTATTCAAATACTCGAATTCGTTTCTCAAAGTATCTGTGTTTAAAATAAAAAAACTAATTTTCAAATAGTTATTCGTTTAAGTTTATATATTTTCCATTTTAGTTTGAATTATTTTAATCGCGTAAAAAAAACAAAATCAAGAATTTATTTATTTATTCTATTTTTTACTCTAAATTTAGTTACTCAACCGAAAATTCTAATGTTCCGACAAAAAATCAGATGTTTATATTATGATGGCTGTACATGCCCAAACGATATGGTATAAGGTATATGGAGTTCTGTTGATTTACAAGGTTAAAAAAAAGTGACAAAATATTTAAAAGTTATTATTTGAAAGTATCTATTGTTACTTTCTTTTTTGAGTATCCAAATGCGTTTTATAAACACTTTTCAAAATAAGTATCCGTGTCTGTTGTTCACAAGTTTGCCTAGTATTATTATCGTAGTAAAATTACAAATTATTATCATTCTCCCCGACATCGTGATGGCAAAGCGAAAGTAACTTAATTTTGTCCCGTGCCCGACAGGTCAGCACTATCAGCTGCAGCCGCAGCCACACCAGCAGTTCCGCCGGCTGTCCAAGCAGGGCAGCAGTTCCATGGACGCTGCGGCCATCCACGTGCACACGTCCGAGTGCTCTCACTTCATACCGCCGCCGCCGTCGCACCACTCGGTGGCCAACGGCGGCGTCGGCTCACCGCGGGCAGGCAGTCCAGCCCGCGGCCCGTCCATCGCCGACGGAATGCTTCCGCCGCCGCCGCCGCTGCACCACGGCGTGCCGATGCACCAGCAGGCCACGGCCGACCACCACGGGTTCGAGTGCGACTTTCACTGTTGCGCCCTGCACGAGGAGGGCCGCCGGATCGCCGTGCACAAGTCGGTGGCCACGTCGCCGATCCAGGAGTGCCACCACGTGCCGCCGCCGCCGCTGCAGCCGCAACAGCAGCCCGCGGTGCAGCAACAGACGCAGCCGCTGCAGCCGCCGCCGCCGTCCACCGGCCAGCCCGGGTCGTCCTCGCTTTCGGACGGGACGCGCCGAGCGTCGCCCAAGGGCCACGTCCGGTTCTTGGACCCGGCCGGGTCGCCGCCGCTGCCGCCTCCGCCGCTGCTTCCGCCGTCGCCTCCGGCGTCGCCGGCGCGCCAGCAGCAACCGCCGCCGCCGCCGCTGCAGTCGCTGCCACCGCCGCTGCAGCTGCAGCACCGGTCCGACAGCTCCGACTCCGAGACGGAGACCACGGTCATCGAAGACGACTCGATGACCAGCGAGAAGTTCCTGTTGCTCATCGACCAGCTGGTCGACAAACAGGACAGGCACCTGACCGTCAAGGACATCGGCATCATACTGGAACGGCTCAACTCGAAAATCGTGGACGTCGAGCGCCTGGACCGCGACTACGAGGCCACCGACTGCTACAACTGGACCATCAAGGCGACCATCAGGGGCGACGTGCTCCAGGAGTACGGCATCATATACAACGGCAACTACTACGGCATATCCGAACACCCGGGTTACCGGCAGAACGACGAGGAGCTGCCCAACGAGGACGAAGAGGAAGCGCTGGACGACGACGACGACGACGGTGACGACGGAGCCGGAGCCGGCGCGTCGGTCGCGGCCGGCGGTGGCGGCGGGAGCGGCGGAGCCGGTAGAGACGACCGCTTGCACAGACGTCGTGCCGACGAAGAGGTTAACATTTAAATATATTATTATACTATTTATAATCACACGTTGTTACACGCACAAGTGGCACACACACACACACACACACACACACACACACACACACACACACACACATACACTCACACATAGGTGAGACTTGGTGACAAACATAGGTATTGGGGGATGCAGAAATTAAAGTTTTCGGAAAAAAACTGCCATAGATAAAACGCGAAAATGCATTGGAAAATAGGTAATAAAAATATACACACACTCTCGAGCAGTTTGCAGTTTTCTTTTGCCCAATAATTGCTCACAAGGCTGGTCCTCTGATGTATAGCCAGGGGCGAAGGTATCTTTTCTCGGATAACACACGCGTACAATAATTGCACCCTCACGACTCTCTACCCAAATGTCGCCTATTCACACACACACACGCACACACACATACACACACACACACAGTGTACGTACATTATGTGCGCGCCACATTCGCGGTCGTTTGTTGTTCGACCTCCCGAGGTTAGAGTTCTGAAAATCATGGGAAAAATAAAATATATGATATGACGTATCGTAAAAAACCATTATTATTATTATTATTATTATTTATTTCAATCGACGAGTTTGACTATAATATTAATTATTTGTACTAATTATCGGTATTATTATTATTAATACCCCCGATGCCAAACCGGCCACAACTATATCGTACGACAATCGTTATTCTACTTGACGATATCGATATCATTATTATTTTCATTATTTTCATTATTATTATTATTATTATTATTATTATTATTATTGTTTTTATGCCGTGTTGTGCGACTGTTGTGCCCCTCAAACACAATGTTCACGTTCTACCTGTCGCGGTCGATTCGCTGCCTTGTGGTCGATCATACCACATTACCACCTGAGATAAGCGACGTCGGAGTTTCGTTTCGTTTGTTTCCAATAATAATACTTTTGGTTTTTTTTCTCATTATTATATTAACCGCCATCGTGACTGCCACAACATACATATTATACACATAAACATAAAACACACACATCCACACACACACACACAAATTTACCGGGTCGTATAAGTTTTCTTTGTCGGAGAAAATAGAACAACGATAAAACCGTTTGGCTATAGACGTCTCACCCGAAGTACGACCTACTGTAGTTGTTTCGATACGACATACACACTCTGTCAGTGTCCTTTTTTTAAAAAAAGACAGTTCCTGCTTAGGGTTTTATGATTTGTTTAGATGAAACACAATATTAATATAGAAAAGTATTCCCCCATTTAAGCATTTAATGTAAAAATTATCTTTTGCCGACATTTACTTACGCACGAACTTAACGTCGTCGTTTATGCGTATACCATCTTTAATATTATTATCGCAATAATATACTATCATTATTGTTTATATTATTATCATGATGATAAGTATTATTATTTCTTATTATTTTTACGATGGTTATTATTATTACTATTAAGGATTATAATTATTATGGTTATTATTATTATTATTATTATTATTATTATTATTATTATTATTATTATTATTATTATTAAGAAATACAATATATTATATTATTGTTATTGCTGCGATCTGTACAAAACATAAGTACTGTTTGTTATTTTGTTTCCTTTCAAACAAAAAAAGGCTACACAGTTTTCCAAAGGTCAAGTAACAAAAGTGATAATAATTAGGTCATTGTGTTCAATATACGATTTTAGTACCTTGAAATTTGAAAGACACTGTTTAATGCCAAAAACAACCATAGTCTCAAAATCGTAATAAATTCGTAAACGGTCATATTGTCTGAGAAGATGCAAAATATATTATAGTTTTGATTCCTAAAAATATTTCATATTGGTATACGAAAAATTGGCAAAATTAAAATCGCAATCACTATGTTAAACCAATGAAACCAAAATAAATGAATTAACAATAGGTGATGTCTATATTAAATAATCACGATTTTCATCAATCATTATAACAATTTTCATCGGTCATACTCGTGTAATGCCGTTTCACTAGGCAAGGTAGGTTATTTATTTGAGATAATATAAGTAACTTAAGCTAAAGTTGTATTTTTTTTTTTTATTATTCAGAACAGTGTTTAAAATTTTAATTTATTTTATTTTAATCATGTTGGCAGAATATAATATATATATAGGTAGTGGACGGACAAAAAAATGTTAAAGAATTAATAAAATAAAAGCGAAAATACCGTCCAACGTAATTGTTGGATTTTATATATAATTTTAACTGGATCATCTTGTGAACTTAAAGCTTACTGTTTCGTTTGTTCAACTCATTCTTTTGATTCGAATTTTGTTATCTCGGGTACATCGGAATGTTTGTCAGAAGAATCTGTATGTAATTCAGTAGTTGTGTACACTCGTGTATTAAATGCTATGTATTTGCAATTGTTCGGCAGCATATTTGCTTACGGTCTGTATATTATTTTCAAATAAATCCACCATGCTTAAAATTCTCAGTTCAAAAATAATATATTTCGTTTCGTCTCTCGAAGATATTTGAATAAGAAAATGCTTATCAATGAGCTCATAATAATATAACGGTATTATTTTCGCCTACCTAAGACAGTCAAAGAATGTATCATTTTATGTAATGAATATGGATAAACTATTTCAAATAATATATTTTACTCTGTTTCTCGAAGAAGATATCTGAAAGAAAATATTTACCGTTAAAATAACACAATGGTTATTAAAAGATTCGGCCGCGTAGGTTCGCAAAACGTCTCAGTCGAATTATAATATGTATACTTTTATAAAACACAAATAGATGTAAGCCGCGGACTAAGATGATATTAGATGTATAAACTAATTTCAAACAAAAATCGCCAATCGTTTAGTTTTCAACTGCCTATAGATTATTTTGCTGTTTTCGGGTTTCGTTATTTTGCACGTTATACTTTTTCAAATTCTCATTCATCCGGTTATGACATTAATGAAATCGATCCCAAGCGCACAATAGATCTTGAACAATGTTGAAGGCCTTAAGTAAACCGTAATTGTATTACCATACTATGTTATACGCTATCGGTATTTCCTTTGCCAAAACATTTACTATTTTAACTTTGTTTTTATAGACATATAAAAATTAAAAAATAAATATTAAAAAAACATTAGGTCGTTTCTTATAATAATTTTATTATAACATTACAATGTCGCAGGGACACAATTTTGACATGTTATGTAAACCAAATCCCGCTCAAATCACAGATCAAATTTAAATATCATCGAATGTAATTAATTACCTAACAGTTTTGTTCGCTATTGTTGGTTAATTGTTAAAGTTTAAATTGAAAAACAGATTCCGAATAGAACGCAAAAAAAAAACACTCCACACTGGCGCACGTATTTATGGTTTTGAAAAACATTCATTATAATTTATAAATTATAAAAAATGATACTGCGTCATAGATAAATGCATTATTCCGCGCATAATCGGTCAAGAAGACCTAAATAACAATATGACATGGCTCGGACAAAACCATTTTTCAGTCCCATGGTAATATTATATTACCAAAATCAAGATGGTTCTTGTTCTCCTTGTATAAGACATTCTAATTCTACAATTCTACAATCAACTCTAAATCAAACTGGTAACTAAACTACTAAAATAATATTATTATTACCTACCATTCAGATCTATTATAGCTGAGATACGAATCGGGAGTATACCATCAAACAGTTTAGTATCGTTTTTTAATGTTACCTACCGCCTCAGTGGGTACGACTCATGCTCTGAAATTATTCTGTAATATTTATGGTTTTTAGCCGAAATGGATCTTAACAACTATTGACGGACATGCGTATGAAATATTAGAGACAATCCACCGATATTTCATCCACAGATCTAGCAGATAACGTACCTACTGTAGATTTTAATATACTTGTGGATTGATTATAATATATAAATTTATATCAAATTTTAAATCATTACAAAAACATCATCAGTTCGAATATTGATTTTGATTGAAACACGCCACGAAAGTTTGGTTTTAAAAATAAAGTATGAAGTAACATTTTGACAGTTGAAATCTTTGTGTAGTAGTAAATAGTTGCCACACTCGATAATACTTAAGTGTTAACAAGTTTCTGTCCATTCACGCTATTCAATATCGATCAATGCATAACATGCGTGTGACCACATACGGACGATAATTCAACTAGATCTTGACGAATTCGTAAACATTTCGCCTCTTTCTTACGAACTGCACTGCATTCACTTTATACATCCGTGTAGGTTCATCTAATAATAAGCTAATAATTTTCACCAACAGCGTTTAGGCATTCATTTTTAAAAATCGACTGTGTTTGACTAACGGCACTTAGCCCCGTTTTATAATTATTGTTATATGGGTTCCTTATTATTATAATATGATTATGAATTAATAATAATATTTTAATTACTGGATCTCTTTGCTCATCCTTGAATCCGTGTATAAAAATGTCATTACCACCTCTGCAGTTTTAAAAATTAATTAATTGTAAATGTCTACCCTTAATCTTATAAAATCCAGTGATTTTCTTTCCATTTAATTTTAGACTTTTAATCTTATTTTTTATTTTAGTCATTAAATTTTATCTTGGAGATTTTAATATTTATTTTCTTATCCTTTAATAGCGTAATTTGTCACGAACGTATTCTACAACTTGTCCTTAAACACATTTTATCGAAAGCCTGTCATGATGTTAAATTTAATTAGTATAGGTATATAGATAGATCCTTATTCTGACGCCACTTCTCTTTGAAAAATTTGAGTCATTAACTCGAAGCTTTAGTCAGCTTCAGAAATATTCTATACACACTAAACCATGCCAGAAATCTCATTATATAATATGCCAAATACCAACTCACAAAGACAAGAAATGGATTTTTATAGATATACCTACAAAAAATTGCTTAAAAATCATTCAACAGTAATCTAGTATAATATAAAATATAAAGACGGTAAACGGATGTACACGAAATACGTATATTGGCATCACAACACGTATCGATACGCCTATCGACGAATACCTGCCTCAAATTTTATAGGTATTAAAAAAGTATTAAAAATCTGTAGAATATGATATTTTTGATTTGAGCAAAAAATATGTCCACATTTATATGGCATTTCAGACATTTGGCTCAAGAAACGGAATTTGCAAATAAGATGTTTGTAATTATTTATGCGTGACCTAGATTTGAACGATGTCTCTTTGAGCTAACGTGACTACTATTGCAAAAGGTCTAAATTTACTTTAAACTTGTTATCATCGCAGTTACCAATAAATTAATTTAATTTAGTTGGTTTTAAGATTATTTATTATTTCTATAATTATTACAGTGAAAATATATTATATATAAATACAAAATAGATTAGATTTTGCTAATATTGTATACCCAATGTTTAAATATATTATTACATATTATATAATTTTGTTGAAAAAATGTTGTAACGTTAAATTTAATTATTATTATAATCTATGGACTAAGGTAATTAATTGTTTAGAAAACTAAATTTTGTTTTAAAATATTATTAAGTTATTTAAATATGATTGTTAATAGTTATTATAGCAGTGATTTTATACATTCATATTATACACAGTGCCGTGGTCGGGATTTTTTTGTGGGAAATAAGGGTCTCAACATACTCAATGGCCAGAAAAATGTTCATTCAATTCACAGTTTGAAAAAAAGTTAATGATTTTCTGACGTCACGAGGGACGGGGGGGGGCTTAAGCTTGTTTTAGCCTCCCCTGACTACGGCACTGTATGTAGCATTATTAAGTGATAGGCATAAACGAAATGTTTAATGTATGTACTTCTAATTATCCAACTCATAAATTCATTATATACATGAAACTTGTGGAACAATAAGTATATGTATACAGTGAATTGGTTGGTTCGTCGATTATATGCACAATGCGCTACACTGCCTATTTTTTTATTTATTTTTTTTTTTTTTGTTGTTTTATATAAGACAGGAATTCGTTGTTATGTTTCGTTTAATCATTTTATGTACAACAGTATACATATATACAACAGTATTATATATATTATATATTATAATGTTTATGTATATAATATGAATATAATATTATTATATTATTATATTATA